GTGGCAGTCGTGTAGTCGTAGAAGTAGAAGTAGACGTAGTAGTAGTAGTAGTAGTAGTAGAGTAGTAGTAGTAGTAGTAGGTCGTAGTAGTCGTAGTAGTCGTAGTAGTCGTAGTAGTCGTAGTAGTAGTAGTAGTAGTAGTAGTAGTAGTAGTAGTAGTAGTAGTAGTAGTAGTAGTAGTAGTAGTAGTAGTAGTAGTTGTAGTAGTAGAAATAATAATAGTAGTAATAGTAGTAGTAGAAGCAGCGTAGATCCCGAGCAGTAGGCTCTAGACAAAAAGGAAGCGACGACAATTGGAGCTCTATGGCGGGACGACGACTGAGGCCTCACAGTGGACCAGCCATGGGACACCAGCCAGAGGGCACTAGGGTGGTATTTCGAAAGAGCGCCCACTGGGGCACCACAGGGCACCAGCGATATATCACCAGAGCGGCCGCCAGAAATCGCGGCAACAGTAGTGCGCAGGAGACTGGGGCTCGTGAGACAACGTCGATGGTGCATCAAGACAGCAACCAGAAATCGCGACAATCAGAGGCGGGCATCATATGGCACCATTCGTAGCGCGCAAACGATAAAGCACCAGGGCGGCAACCAGAAATCGTGACAACCATAAGCCACCGATGACAAGACAACCGTATAGCACCAGCCATAAGGCACCGAGACGACAACTACAAATCTCGACAACCGTAGTGCACCGACGACTGGGGCATCGTATGGCATCATAAGCACAAAGAATAATGCACCAGCGCGGCAACTAGAAGTCGCAACGTCCGAATCCAACTCCTCTCGAAACAAGTAAGGGCCCCTTAGTACAAGCGCTGGTTTGGTAAGATGCGCAGATCTCAAGAAGGTGGATGCATCCACGGCTGTGTGGTCATCAGTAGTACATCCATACACACCGTTCATTTCTACTCGTGCTCATTTCTAAGTATGCTCGTTTCTAATTGTTCCTGCCCGCCCCCCTGTGGCCAGGACAAGGCCCAGGATATAACAATGAAAAATGACAGGACCTTGGCCCCCCCCAGAAATTCAGATAACTTTCGAATACTTAGAACTGAGCAGTGTGTGCACACCTGCGGGAGCTGGGCGTGTCCAGCCACAAGAGGGGCCGAGCGCTGGAAAGCCATCTGGCCTCCTCCTCCTCCTTCTCCCCCTCCTCCTCCTCCTCCTCCTCCTCCTCCTCCTCCTCCTCCCGCTCCTCCTCCTCCTCCTCCATCTCGTCCTCCTCCTCCTCCTCCTCCTCCCGCTTCCTGGGGCCCGCGCGGGGGCCCAGTGGAGCCCCGTCGGGCGGCGAAAGCCCCCTTCCCGGCCCGGCGGCTCCCGGGGAGCGGCCGCGAGTGCGCACGAGGGGCCGCGCGCCCCCCCGCGAGGTCCTGCCGCGCTCGCGCCCGCCTCCCGCGGGCAGCTGCTCCTGGCCGCCGCCGCGGGGAGGACGAGGGACGAGCGACGGGGGGGAAGGGAGGAGCGAGGGCTGCCGCCCCGGGGAGGAGGGCAGCGAGCGACGGGGGCGGGGGCAGCGAGGAGGGGCAGGCCTGCTCGGAGGGCGGCGGAGCTTTTCTCGGGCGCCCCCCGGCCCTCCGAGGAGTTCTCGGCGTCTGCGGGAAAGCCCAGAGAACGCCTCGGAAGGCCCGAGAACCCCCGAGCCTTCCGAGAAGGCCCGCTCCTTCTCAGTTTCACCCCAGGATCGCCGCCGGGAGGAGAGGATGGGGAGCACGCGAAGAGAGGTACGGTTGAGAGCAAACGGGCAGGGCTTAGGGGAGGAGCAGGAGGACACCCGAGAGTGCCTGGAGGTGCGAGGGAAGCGGGGTGCGCACGAGGGGAAGCAGGATGCGCGAAGGGAGGAAAGACGTATGAAACTTCCTCTTCTTCCTCCTCCTCGCCTCCTCATCTTCCAGTTCCTCCTCACTGACCACGTCCCTCGGCTTCTTCTTCCTGCTCATCGCCAGGCCGAGGGGGTCTGCGCATCCTTGTGGATATCCGCCACCGTGCCGTAGGCACATAGTGGAGTGTTCTCAGACCCCTTCGATTTCATTGTGCCGAGTACTGTAATGCTCTTGACGGGGCTCAAATCCCAAACTCGCTTTCTCTTGGGGCTTCTAGGGCCTCTCGGATGACTTCGCACGTATGTTGTGCAGGCTCATGGCCTCAACATATCTTACACCACATAATTTACACAGCAGAGCCTAACTCCCATGCCTTACGCAATACAGCTTACACCACACAACTTTCACATTCGTAGTGGACCAATTTCACTGTTAGGATATACCGGCTGGCTAACATTTTTACACCTGTCTATGAATAAGGTCATGCGTATGAGTATGAACACGTATATGTAGATGGACATGTCTGTATTTGTGTTTGTGCATGTATACATTTACCTATACGACCACCCTTCGGGTGATAAGAAGGTTGTGTGGGGGGGGGGAACAACTGATGACAGCTGCGCTGATTGTGATGGTGACGACGCTGGTGATGTGCTCGCGAGCTGGCGTCGATGCGTGATCGGGACACCAACGGGGCACCATCGAGACACCATCGGGAGGAGCACCTGAAGACACTGTGGGGGCAAATAAATGACACCATCGGGACACCATCAGGACACCATGTCGACACCATCGGGGCATCATGTGGGAACCATCGGGACAACATCGGGGCACCATTGTAGAACTACTAGGACCATCGAAACACAATCGAGACACCATCGGGGCACCATGTGGGCACCATGTGGACACCATCGGAACACCATTGGGACACCAACAGCACCAACAGGTCACCATCGAAACACCATGGGGAATTCATCGGAAAACCATCGGGGCACCATCGGAACGCCGTCGGAACACCATCGAGACACCATCAGAACACCAGACGGGCACCATCGGGAAACCACTATGGTCAATTCGTCCACGATTTATATATCGATCTTACTATCGGTCTCACGATATGTCTCACTATCGACCTCACCATCGAGACACCCCAAGGCCACCGCCAGTCAACTGGGAGGCAAAGCAACATCTGGCCCGGTTTCGCTCCAACTAAGGCGGGTTCATTCCGCTCGCCCGCCCGCGCAGGTTCGCCCCGCAGCCCGCGCGCGCGAGACGAACTTCCCGGAAGGGGGGTCTCCGTTTCACTTGGATCTCACCCCCAGTCTCCGATATATATATATATATATATATATATATACATGCATATATATATATATATACATACATATACATATATGTATGTACACACACCTATTTATGAACTTTCATAAGGCCGGGGACCCCGGACAGACCGCCCCCCAAAAAAAACGGGTTTCGGGCTTCCCCGAGATTCTCGGGCGGTCCTGGAGGCGCCCCAGACGGCCCGGGATGCTCCCAAGAAGGGTCCACGAACGCTCCGAGACAGTCCGAGAGCGCACCAAGAGACCCCAAGACCGCCCAAGACCGTCCAATGGGGCCCCGAGACGCCCCAAGGGGCCTCCAAGAGGCTTCCCAAGAGTGGAATTCCATTGATTTTTGCATGGTTTTCAAAAGCTTTCCTGGTTCTCCCTTTTCGGGCCAACGTCGGCCCGAACGGGCCCGAAAGGCTCCAGATATCGCCCCGATATAGCCCAAGAAGCCCCCCAAAGAGCCCGAAAACGACCCGAGAGAGTCCCAAGACAACCCAAGAGGGCTCCAAGACGGGCCCACGAGAGCCCCAAGAGCGCCCAAAGAGGCATCCAAGAGGGCCCCAAGACGCCGCCAGGAGAGCCCCACGACGGCCAGAGGCCTCCAAGACGCCCCAGGGCGGCCCCAAAAGTGCCCCGAGACGACCCAAGAGAACCCCAAAAGGGCCCGAAAAGGGACCCAAAAGGGCCCAAAGAAGACTCCCAAGAGGCCCGGCAACGCGATTGCGGCGGCGCTCGCGATGGCAGCGGTCTCCCCCTCTCATTCTCCCTGTCGTATGTCGTCGCCTTCGTCGTCGTCGTCGTCGTCGTCGTCGTCGTCGTTGTCGTCGCTTTCGTCGTCGTCGTCGTCAGCGTCGTAGCGGACGTCATAATCATCGTCGTTTTCATCGTGGTCGTCGTCGTCATCGTGGACGTCGTCGTCGTCGTCGTCCTCGTCGCCCCTGTCTCGACCGGCCCGCTGGCTCGGCCAGCCCGCCGGTTCAGCTCGGCTCGGCTCGGGTTGGCGGCGAAGGAACGGGACATGAAGGATGAGGGAAGGAAAGGATAGGGAATGGAAGACACTGTCAGATCGACAACCACGAAAACGACAACAAGGCGTTATCGCTTTCTTTAACTATGCACATATCTGTCATCCCGCCTGCTTGCTCAACTTGAAGGACCATGGTAGGTCTGGCCACTTTCGCCTGAGACCCTCGCACCTTTGAGTTGCGAGATGCCCGGAGCAGCTGGTCAGGCCACTACCGTCTGAGATGCGCATGTGTATGCGCACGCATAGTTACACAGACCGTTTGCAGGTACATTCACATACCCATACATACGTATACTTATATGTACATATGCAGTAGGCTTCCATCGGCGCATGTGTGTGCGCATGTACGCACGCACGCATTCCGCCAACGTGCAAAACTCTACAGGACCAAGGTGCACGGCGCGCAGCGCCAATGCGGTCTTGTGTATATATATATATGTATATGCATGTATGCATCTGGATGCCAATTATGTATATGTACACACATATAAATATGTATATGCATAGGCACATGTAGACGTATACGTTTGTGTATGTTTACATGCAGATGCATGTGCTGCATACATTCCACATATCTCTAGTTCTGTGTGCTAAGTGTGTATGTTTGCATACATACCTACGTACATACACACATGCATACATACATACATACATGCACACATATACACATATACACACGTACACGTACACATATCCATATATGTATTTGTATGTATATGTATATGCATATGTATATGTATATGTATATGTATATGTATGTATGCATGTATGTATGTATATATGTATGTATGTATGTATGTATACATGTATGTATATATGCATATATATATATATATATAAAAGTACGTATTGGTTTTCTGACGGTCGCCGCACTAGCTGGTTCCTCGGTTCGGCGTGCGAATGGGTTGGGACGGACATGGCGCGCGGTCGCTAGTGAGTCTCGAGGTCAGCTCTACTGGGGCCTGTCAGGAGGCCTCTTGGGGCCTCTTGCGGGCTGTTTGGGGGCCTCTTTTGGGTCACTTGGGGCCCTCTGGGGGCCTCTTGGGGGTCTGCTGGCGGTCTTGGAGGCCCCTTTTCGGGCAGAGGGCTCGAAATTTCAAGTCGAGTTTCCCCTGTGCCCCCTTGGACCGTCTTGGGCGCTTCTTGGGGCGTCTCGGTCGGGGCCCTCTTGGGCCATTTTTGGCAGATCTGGGAGGCCCCTTGGGCCGTTTTGGACGCCGTGAAGGCAGAAAAGATGCATGCGCTAAAAATGCATGTGTTCCGAAAGAAATGATCTGATTTTTACCTCTTGAAGCTCTCATGGAACGGCTTTTGGAAGCCTCTGGAGGCGTCTGGGGTGCCTCTTGGGCCGTCTGGGGGCCATCTGGAACGTCTTGGACCGATCATTGGGCGACTCGGGGCCCTTCTTGGACTGTCTGAAAAGCCTCTTGGAGCCCCCTTGGCCCGTGTTGGGGCCCTCTTAGGGCACTCTGGGGCCGTCTTGAGCCTTCCAGGGGCGCTCGCGACCCAGGCCGGACCGCCGCACCCAGAGTCAAGCCATATCTGTTTTCGATGAAAATAGATATTCGCTGCTCTGGTACAGTTACAAGCATACACGTACTACGCCGTTACAGAAATTCGTCACGTTTTATGGGAGCGTCAAGATCATGCATGCTTCGTCTGTTACTTCCGCGCGAGCGGGCGATGGCTGACCCCTGTCCCGACCGCGCCAAGCTGCCCCCCTTTCCTTCGTAGAATCCTAGCGGGCTGGGTCAAGAGCGGTCAGATCAATGATCCGGGATACCTAAATCCGCGACTTCCTCTAGTTATTTCATAGTATATATTAAAAAGGGGTATAGTCGAATCCCGACGTCAAACAAAACAGAACACACGATCTTAGAAATCCCACTGGGCGGGATCCTGCCCTGCCAGCGCAATATGGGTAAATGTCAACTCTTGACGACACCTGTGTAACGCCGACGTGTATACATGCACACACACACACGCCTGGTGTACGTTTTCTTCCTCGGCGAATCGACATTGGGCAGAAAGGGGGGGGAGGGGTGGGGGGTCTGGCTCGGGACCTCTGCTTGATGCGTCTGTTTGCAACAATGTGCCAAAACAGGGAAGTCCCCCCCTGCTCGAAACGGGCGCCCCCAACACAGCCAAGATCTGGTCCATGGGGGGAAGGGACGGGGGGTGCGAGGGCCTGCGCCGAGCGGCAAAACAATGAGTCCGAAAACGACGACTATGTCTGCCTGTTCGCCGCTGTTTCGCCGGAGGAGGGGGAGGAGGAGGAGGAGCAGGAGGAGGAGGAGGAGGAGGAGGAGGAGGAAGAAGAGAAGGACGGAGGCGGAGGAGGAGGAGGAGAGGAGAGGAGGAGAGGAGGAGGGACGAGGAGGAGGAGGACGAGGAGGAGGAGGAGGAGGAGGAGGGGGAGGAGAGGAGGAGGAGAGGAGGAGGAGGAGGAGGAGGAGGAGGAGGAGGAGGAGGAGGAGGAGGAGGAGGAGGAGAGGGGAGGAGGAGGAGGGGGAGGAGGGGAGGAGGAGGAGGAGGAGGAGAGGTGGGGGAGGAGGAGGAGGAGGAGGAGGAGGAGGGGAGGAGGGAGGAGGAGGAGGAGGAGGGGAGGAGGAGGAGAGGAGGAGGAGGAGGCCGAGCCCAGCCTGCCGCCGCGCCGCGGCGGTGCGCTCAGGCCCGCGGGGGCGGTCGCGCGGCTGGCGGCGCGGCGAGCTGGGCGGCGGGCGCCGGCTGCACGGCGCGCCGCGCCAGGGGGGCCGCGGCCCCGGGCAGCGGCACCACCACGCGGCCCATGCGGATCTCCTCGTGGGCTCGCGGGGGGGGAGCTCCAAGGAGAGGCCCTGCCTCGGCCCTCGTGCGCCGAGGAAGAGGCGGGACCACCGCGCGGCCCATGCGGAGCTCCTCGCGGGCTCGCCGGGGGGGGCGCTCCCAGGAGGGGCCCGGCCTCGGGGGGTCGAGGGAGCTCCCTCGACCCCCTCGGCCCTCGTGCGCCGAGGGAGGCGGCACCACCACGCGGCCAATGCGGATCTCCTCGCGGGCTCGCCAGGAGGGGCGCTCCAAGGAAGGGCCTTGCCATGGAGGGTCGAGAGAGTTGAGCAGGGACCGACCGTCCCGGCATGCCTCTAGGCCTACCATCGCATAAAACACGCCATGTTCCTGGAACAGAAGCCCGATGTGTTAAACAAAACAAAGCAGCGGGACTACCACGCGGCTCATCCCGATCTCCTCGCGGGTTCGCCAGGAAGGGCGCTCCGAGAAGGGCCCTGCCTTCGACTGGTGGTTCAAAGATGGGGTGCTGAGGGATATGGGGGCCTGAGGATAGGAA